CAGAAACTTCAATACGCCGTATTGAGTTCACTGCGGCCATATTGAAGCTTCAATACGGCCGTATTAAGTTTAGTACGGCCGTATTGGGCTTCATTCCCTCCACTTCCTTATTTTAAGCTATTCTAAGACCTCTAGACCTACAGAGAACCCTCCTAGGGCCTTCCAGGAGTCCTTCTGGCTGATCTTCCTTCAGTCTTCGAGAGTCTTCAAGCTTTATTTCCGACCCGGACAATTTTAGGGGTCTACAATCTCAGGCTCCCCCAATCTCAATAATCTCCGCCTTTTTGATGATGACAAACCAAGCTAAGCTTAAGCCATTTTGTTCATTTTGCTTTTGCCTTTTCTTTCACATTCAAAACTTGCAAAACAACCAAAACAAAACCTTTCTCCCCCTTTGGACATCATCAAAAACAAATCAAGCTATGTATGTCCACAACACACAGTATGAGCTTTATGCATACTCCTTATATGCTTAGAACAATACCAAAAACTGATTCAACACAACATAGGTATTGATCAACAAAAACTTTGTGAACTTGAACCATAGTATTCAAGTCATAATCATCAGCCAAAATCACCAGATACACTCCAATATCACAATTCAGAATTTCAGAATTCAAAAACATTACCAATTATGCTAACCAAACATCAAACAATCAATATAGCAATGTTCAAAACAGAACAACACACCATATATCAATGCTCAAAAACAGAGCATCATACTACCAATGTACCAAATCAAAATCATTCAACCACAATATATCAAAATTTAACCTTCAAATTTCACCTGAAATCAAATTGTTCAACAACATAAAGCAATAAAATTGTTCCGAAATTAAAATGATTGCAACTCAATCGAAATTGAAATTTTAACAACTAGAAATTTAAACTTCCTAAACAATATATGTGTTGGGGTAGTAAGGGTGTCACACTATCTATTTTTTAAGCTCAGCTAACTCCTTAAGAGACATCCTATAGGGTGCTATAGATATAGGTGAGGTACTTGGCACTAAGTCTATGCTAAACTCAGTCTCTCTCAGGTGTTAAACTAGACACATCCTTAAGGAATACTTCTGGGAATTCCCTCACTAAGGGAATCTCATCTAGCTTACTACCAATCTCAAGTGTTAAGGAAGCTAAGATCATGTACACCGCTCTTTCATTTTCTTTTAAACAAGTTTTATATTAGCAGCACTAATAAATTATGTCTTCTTACATTCACCAAAAGAAATAGATTTAGCAAAGCAGTTTAAGAGGACATGATTGGACGATAACAAGTTCATACGAAGGATAACATCTAATTGACTAAGAGGTAAACAAATAAAGTCAACTAGAAACTGCTTATCAGAAATAACCAAAGGACACTTCAAACAAACTTAGGATATAATTACAGGGCCATCAGTAGCGGTTTCAACAATCAAATCAAAATTTAAATAGGACACGTGCAATTTCAAACTTTGGACACAAGAAATATAAATGAAGGAATGAGTTGCACCAGAATCAAATAGTACAACAAAAAGAGTCTCAGATATGAAACAAGTAGCTTATATTAGATTTTCAAATTGAGCAGCTTCAGCACCGCTAAGAGCAAATACTCTCCCAGTAGCCTTCAGATGCTCAACTTGAGAACCCAATTCAGTAACACGTGGTCTTGGCGGTTGTGGAGACTGGTGTTAGAAAAGAATGGCTCAATCCAAGAGGGGGGTGAATTGGATTCTATGACACTTCAAAATTTATCAGAGTTTTAAGGATCTTTATTTCAACTTAAACTTTTCTAATATGAATTCTCAAAAAAGCTTCTTGAAAGACTTGCCAATGGGAATGAGTCCTATATGCTTTCTTGATTAATCTTCATTAAGTCCAGTTTTAAGAACAGTTAATATGCAATACTTTGATTCAGTTTAAAGCAATGTTAAGCATACAAATATATTAATCAAGATCAGCCATTTTATCACTCAATTAAGATTTTGCTCAATAAAAGAGATAAGGGTGAGAGAAGAATGCACAAGTGT